GAGAGAGAGAGAGAGAGAGAGAGAGAGAGACAGAGACAGAGAGACAGAGACAGAGAGACAGGGAGACAGAGAGACAGACATACAGACAGACAGACAGACAGACAGACAGACGGACAGACAGACAGGCCGACAGACAGGGATTTTGAAAGGGACGGGTTGGTAGAGGGATAATCCAGGAAAAACGTTTCTAAATATCACAAATGAAATAATAATTATATGAACACAAGTCAGTTTCCGAGTCAACGCAAGAAAACAAAATCAAAATCAAATTTAAAACAAATTCCCTGAAACTTGTTTAACATTGAGAAAAACCTGTAAATAAAACTAGCACAACGAAGCCTGAACCACTGAAAAAACTAAGAAACATTACAACTGTTACTAAAATGTCAACGTGCAGGATAATCATAACGATATAATCTAATATGTGAAACAAGAGCCAGATAAGATTTATCTATCCACTGAATGTGCTGTCCAAAACAATAAAAGTGCCACTCTTTTGTAGGCTAGTATCGCGTAGGTAGGGAAAAATTGAAAGAAAAAAAGAGTTCGTTACAAAAAGCTGGTGTGGTAGAAGCTACATCTGAGCCGTTAAACAGAAACTTGGGTTTAAAAAATGGTGGCTATTAGTGCAGAGACAAGAACAGGACAGAAAGACCACCAAAAAACAACAATGAAGCAATAAAAAAAAAGGGGGGGGGGGGAGGAAATAGGAGCAACCAACGGCACTCTAAGACAAAATAGACTGTTAGTTAAATGTGTGAGAAAGAAAGATTTTAAAAAAAAATGATATTTATGGCACGAGAACAAAGCGGGGAGGCGTGGGGTGGGGGAGGGGGGGGGCTTTACAAAGGTGGAACAGCATTGGAAAAGGAGTGGAGGAGGGTTGGGGGGTGGATATGGCGGTATGAGTTATGTGGAAGGGGTCTGAGAGGTGCGTGGCTTAACGCATTAAAATAGCCTTTAACCTATAATGATCCTCGTCACGAAAGTCCCATACTTGAAAGACTTATCGTGTCAGGGCTTAAAGAGGGCCCAGATTATTTGGATTGTTCAATGTTTATTCAAACTGTTGAACCAAGATTTCTATTACAAGTTAATGTAGAGATAGTATTTGAATAATGTCAATGAATGATAAAAATTGTTACGTGTTTGAATGCTGTTTATAACGAAAACTAAGTCAATATTAAATTTTGCCAAATGCCATTTTACATACAAATTGTTGAATATCTGTTGTACTAAGATAAACAAATGTATCCGGTACTGTCAATCAAAGAGTTGGTGCTCCATTTTGTACAACAGGTCTGGGTTTTATGAAGTTGGGCGAAGTATGCTCATCGTGGAATATTACGACTACGATACCTTAGAGTTACAAAGCTCTATACGACAATTTTGACCGTTTTGAGTTTCTAAAACTGTCAGGTCAGAAACCAAAATGTTCTATCTGCTCTATCAAACTCGTAAGATTGTTCGGAGCCGTTTTCAAGATATCCAAAGAATCGCTTTCGAAAAAGCTGTCTTTTACCTCAGATTTCTCAAAACTATGTACTGAGCAGGTTGAACTTTGCAATTCTAAGGTAGCGACAAGATTTAATTCTTCTCACAGCTGCTGAGGCCTGGTTCACAAAACGTTCACACGTGCAATGATTTAGAGCATTGTAGTGGGATTGGAATGGAAAGCAGATAATCATCATCATTGCCTTTCTCACCCTGCACCAGGGTATAGGCCACGGACAAACACCCCCCACTTTTCTCTATCCTGG